GGATGCGGGATGTGGGATGCGGGGGGCGGGATGTGGGATGCGGGATGTGGGATGCGGGGGGCGGGATGCGGGATGCACTGCTACCAACGCTGCCTTTCTCTTCCACCAGGTGGCAACTTTCATTTTCTGGGAAACGAAAGAAAGAAAATATGCGCCTGCAGGAGCCCCCGTTTTCCAGGTCACGGCTTCCTGCACCAACAAGTGTGGTAAAACTGGGAAAATAAGAGGGAGGGACAGCGAGTCCCTATTGATGTGGAGACTGTGATAAAGGGAACCCAGGGTCATAATTTTAGTGGTGGCTGTAGCTGCCACGGCAACCCAGTTAGCAAGCACCACAGTCCTGCGAGCCATTTCACGGGAGGACACCTTGGGGCTGACTTTAATCAATCAGCAGTAAAAATTTCAGTAGGCAAGCAGCCGATTGGTTCAAGCCTCAGAGATTGACAGTGAAGACCAGTTCTGCTCTGATACATGCCATGACCTTTGACCCTCAGCACTGACACGTTAGACACCGCCAAGGATGTGACTGTCATAGCGCCACGGGGGCGGGCTGGGCGCCAGCCACGGAGACTTACTGGTCATGCCTGGTGTCAGGGATGGGACGGTCCATCCTGAGCTTGTCGCTCTCCACTTGGTTGAATTTGTTGCGAGCGTAGGGGTCCTGACCCGGCCTGACCATCGTCGCCCCCACATATAGGTCCTGGTCGAAGTCCTGCCACCTCACCTTCCCTGCGGGCAAAAGAACAACAGGGATGACGAGACGATGGTCGTGTGGCAATCAGACATGAGCAGCTGCCAGCAAATTGCTCAGTTTGCAAACACAGGAGATGCACAGCCATAGAGCAGCTAGCAGGGCGAGTGACTCAGCTGTGAGCGGCGGCCTAATGTGAGCGTCCCCCTCTAAGGGGACAATCAGGCAGGCCTGCGGACGCCCATGTCCCCCTCTAAGGGGACAATCAGGCAGGCCTGCGGACGCCCATGTCCCCCTCTAAGGGGACAATCAGGCAGGCCTGCGGACGCCCATGTCCCCCTCTAAGGGGACAATCAGGCAGGCCTGCGGACGCCCATGTCCCCCTCTAAGGGGACAATCAGGCAGGCCTGCGGACGCCCATGTCCCCCTCTAAGGGGACAATCAGGCAGGCCTGCGGACGCCTAAGTCCCCATTTCCCAGTCCATCCCCTGTCCCCTTACATCATGGCTAATGATTATAATTTATAAACCAGCACAGGCACTAAGTAAAAAATAAGAGCCAAAAATAGCATCTGCCAGCAGAATCCGCCACTGTGCTAAAGCTCATGGATTTTCAAAGTGTTTTTCCATACGGGTGATGCCAGTGCGCTAGAGTTATTCAACACAAAAAAACTGCAACAAAACCTGCTCTTCATTTCGGGAAGGTGACGCTTTCTCGTGTCCCGGCAGATGCCTTTTACCTACTCACACCCTCAGCTCACAGGGTAACGAAGACCCCCCCATTCCAGCAAGTCAGAGTCACAGGGCCACGTCCTTAACTAGGATGGGAGACGCTGCCCAATACTTTGGATCCTCTGTGCAAACCAACTGAACAACCAACCACGACGAGCCCAGTCACGTTACACAATATACTCTATATTACTATGTTAATGCATTATAACTGTGTGGTATGTTTATGGACTCAGTCAGCCGGTGCATTAATCTTCCCCTATCTGAGGCTATAGCCTAGGGGCCCTGCAAATAACAAGCCCCCCCCAAAAAAAAAAAAATGGAACAGACAGTATTAGCAGCAAGACCAGTGAATCTGTGCTGATGTCAGCCTAGGGCCTGCAGATAAGTCAATCCACTGCAGGTCCTACGGCTCTGGGCTTTAAAATGAATACGCCGAGCTCTCTGTGCCAGCCGGGTCTCTGGGAGTATGTTGCTGCGCTAGATTACACTTCCTAGCTAGGTACTTTAGCAAATGCTGCTGTTAGCTTCCAGGTAAATGATCCTGGGAAGCTGCCAACATCACGGTGCGCCACTGCCGTTCGAGTTGAGAGCACTGTCCGCGGACAGGTCTCCCACCCCCCCGTGGAGCTAAATGTCCATCGCAGCCCGCGGAGACAGGGCACTGCGCGATAGCCCCGCCTGCGCTAAATGCGGCGCTAACCATTATGCTAATAGGTCTCACAAATGATACGGCGGAGCTCCGATGCGTTCGGTCGAGCAGAGGCTGCACGGAGGAGGAAAACAGGACGATTAATCTCATTGAGCTCTGCCAAGCCGTCCTGTATCTAAACCGCCAGTGTTATAATCAGAAATGGCTCCGAATAATCTGTCACTAATGCTAATTGTCCCGCTGAATATTAATATCAAGCTGTGAGTGGGGGGTATTGTAACAGGGTCGTGAGAGTGAATATATAAAATAAAGCGATTACTCGAGCCGCAATGATCTCCACAGCAGACTCAATGATTTCCAGTCGCTAGCAACCACCTCCTGGGCCAATGGAAAGCCAGTACGTTAAATGTGACCATTCACAAAGTGCTCTGGATTTTGACCAATAAGTAAATACCGCCATTAAAACTGGCAGCAAATCTGGGTGCCAACTGATGGCAGCAGCCCGTCCGAAGGTGACATGGCTTCCAGAAAACCTCGGCATGGCACAGAGGTCCTTCCTGAGGTCCTAATGGTGGCGCTGAAAGCTCCCTGCCCCGGTTCCTCAAGATGGCCGGAGATCAAGCCCACGACTTCCTGAGCGCAGTGTGGAGGGAGCTAATCCGGACCATGTGGACTGAACTGCTCAGGAGGAGAAAAACAAAACACAAAAAAAAACAACAACAAAAAGCAGGAGTGGGCAGCCTGTAGATGTCATACTGAGCCCAACAGAGAAGGGGGCCAGGATGGCCGGAGTCAGCATGACAACACAACGCAAGTGGATCCTTCGGATACCAGGCACTGCAGTACAGCTGTCAGGATCACGAGATTAAACTCCATTATTAAAAGCATTGATTAAAATGTTCCTTCTCGGTTACTTGGCAATATGGCGGAGGGTAGGTGCACGTGCAGAATGAGGGTGCGAATAAAGAACGTTAGAGCACAATTGGTGAGGAAGCACGTCACGTCACAAGTGAATGAGAATGCAGTCGTCTGTCAGTACTGCGAAGCGGACTTTGGATATCACCACGGCATGACTGCAAAGCAAATATATCTTAAAAGACGACAGTCGGGTTTGATAGACTCGCCGAGTAATGCAGAGTTAGCCACAGATATGCTCCATGTAGAAGTAGCTTAGCCTATCTTTGCCATCACTTTGACACAAGTAATTCTTCAATCACGATTCCTATGTGTTAAAATAATAGCAGCTAAAACAAAGGTTACCCTTTGGCTAAGCCACCTCATTTGACATAAACAGTACATAACAAATTAACATTATATTTTGCTAACGTCTTGCTTGTATTGAATAGGGCTGTATGAGACTAGAGAAAGATCACACTGCAATATTTAGGAGCAGTAAATTAACTAAATAGCCAAATGTATAACTTATCTACCTTTAGCTTATTATCCACCAAGTGTGTCAAGTAACTTCGTGCTGCCGAGGGCTCCGGCAACACAGAGCAGCGCAGACAAATCGCCTGGTGCTCAATGTCACTATAGAATACAAGACACTTCCATACAGCAGAATACGAGTGGCAGTTCACTCATTATTTGCTTTATTTCTCAGAATCACGCCAAAGTCTATGAATCAGTCAAACAGAATCGATACGGTTGTCCCAGATCACATGCAAAAGCAGTGGCTAGACTTGACTGATTTTTTTAAACCTGTAGTAGAAAATGCTGAAAAGGAACCGTCATTAAAATTGCAAAGCTTGCTAAGTTAAGTTTCCTCTGACTAAGCAAATGTTTTAGCGCAATTTATTGATGGTTTGAACCACAAAGTGCCGTTTTGATATCAACATCGCACACCGTACAGGCAGAGCGGCACAGTGGCGCACTGGGTAGGGTGGCTGCCACACGCCGCAGTGTGACCACGCTGTGTGTGTGTGCCTTTTCGGCAGATCCGCCGGTTTCCTGAGAAGTTTAACATTTTTGGGCAGTAAGTGAACCGGAGTGTGTAAATTGACTGTATATGTGACTGCGTGTGCGCTCTCAACATGTGCTTGGTTCCTGCCTTGCGGCCATTGCAATGAATATTATATTATATTACATTATATATACACGATTATCAGATTAAAATCGGTAGATTATGCGACTATTAATATAACGGATAGTGACCAGCCCGACACCGCAGCTGCACAACACCTGAACCCAGCCATGAACATGGAAGCCGGCATCTTATTTATAACAGTTTTGCTTAATATTAAGCACCTGCTGCTTGATTAATTTACTCAAAAGAGCACTTTGGACAGTTAATTTAAACGTAGCTTCCAAGAAGTCACCGTTCCCTGAGGACAGTCACCGTTCCCTGAGGACAGTCACCGTTCCCTGAGGACAGTCACCGTTCCCTGAGGACAGTCACCGTTCCCTGAGGACAGTCAGTCCTTGGGTGTAACTGCCCTCCCCAACGCCTAATCTTGTGAGATGTCTTATTTCCTGATGGAAGCCCAACAGCTAGTCAACATGCGTCCTCTCCAACACAACACAGCGGAGCAAGGACTATCCTGATCCCAAAACCAGGCCGTCTGCTGGGTAAGAATCTGAACTAGACCGTCCCGCTGCCCTTTGAAGCGCCACCTAGAGCTTAAAAGAAGTGAGTTCGGATTACAAGATCGCTGTCACACTCATCCTCATGGGGAAGTTCAGTGACCTGCTCACACATAAAACAAGTGACCTTGGCATGTTTGTACATTCACAGGTAATGATAAACTGGAAAGTAAACAGAAGACGGGAGCCCACACCTGCCCGACACACCCAAAAGGCATAAAAGAGGGAAGCCTCAGCTTCAGGCAACACCTCCACCTCCACAGACACCATCACCTGCCAAAAGCAGGCAGGCAGCAGCTTTCACACAGCTATGAGGCGTGCGGACGTATCACAAACAAGAGCTGGAGTACCCGTGAGCATCCGGTTGGTATCCTGGCTGAGTAGAGCCAGTTATCTTCTACAAACATTCCCAGCCCATGACCACAAACAGAAATACAAAGGAAACAGATGAACTTCTTCCCCAGGCATGTTGGATACGTGACGAGGACTGTTCCCACTACCTTGGGGCCACAGAAGCATAACCGATATCTCACTAAGGCCCACTCACCACATTCACTATGTGGACAAAAGCACTGGGACATCTGCCCATTACACCCACAGTAACTTTTATGACGTCCCATTCTAAATCCACAGGCATCAGTATGGAGCTGCTCCCCCCTTTGCAGCTGAAACGGCTGCCACTCTTCTGGGAAGGCTGTCCACAGGAGTTTGGAATTACTGCCCGTTCATCCAGAAGATCATTTGTGAGGTCAGGCATTGATGTTGGACGTGAAGGCCTGGCTTGCAATCTCCATTCTAGTTCATCCCAAAGGTATTTGATGGGGTTTGATCAGGGCTCTGTGTAGGCAAGTCAAGTTCTTCCACACCAAACTCACCCAACTGTGTCTTTACGTACCTTGCTTTGTGCACTGGGGCACAGTTATGCTGGAACAGAAAAGGACCTTCCCCAAACTGTTCCCACAAGCACTGTTCCAGAGTCCAGTGACAGTGTGCTTTACACCACTCTATCCGACATTTGGCACTGTGCTTGGTGATGTGAGGGTTGCATGCAGCTGCTCGGCCATGGAAGGCCATTCCTTGAAGCTCCCAGCGCACAGTTTTTGTGCTGGAGTTGATGCCAGAGGAAGTTTGAACTCTGCAGCTATTGAGTCAGAGTGTTGGCGACTTTTACGCACTATGCGGCTCAGCACTTGGCAACCCCGCTCTGTTACTTTAGGTGGTCTGTAGCTTAGGTAGAACAGAAACGCTTCCACTTTGCAATAATACCACTTACAGTTGACCCTGGAATGTCTAGCAGGGAAGAAATTTCACAAGATGACTTTTTGCAATGGTGGCATCCTATGACAGTACCACGCTTGAATTCACTGAGCTCTTCAGAATGACCGATTCTTTCACAAATGTTTGTAAACCTGACTGCATGGCTAGGTGCTTAATTGCTTGTGGCAATGGTTCTGAAGGGAACACCTGAATTCACTAATTAAGAGGCGTGTCCCATGCAGTATACAGCCCCAAAACTACTCCCACTGAACAGATGACAAGTGTAAATACTGATTTACGTATTCCCGTGACTCTTTGCACTACCACCTGTCACCTTACTGCTTAATTGTACACTATTAGTGAACATTTATGATCACCGTTTAACATTTTCTTTGTATACTTGCGCCCCTGTATCTTGGAGTCAAGCAAGCAAGCATTTCACTGCATACTGTGCCAAGTATAACTATGTATGACTGAAATAGGATTAAGACTGCAAATAAACATTACCAGCAAAACACATCACGTTAAAGTGAACTTTTCCCAATCCCTACTCCAAGACATCACTGGAAATTCTGAGGAAAATGATAGGTTCACATTCCGGGGACACATCTCGGCCTTCAGTCATCCAGTAGAAGCATACACCCCCGACAAAAAAAGTGAAAGCGAGGGAGTGCGAGCAGGCGTGCGAGCAGGCGTGCTGCCCGATGTACTCAATAAATGTCAACAGACTTGTCAGCCCGAGAGCCGCGAGAGGCAGCGGTTTTGTCTGGAGGTCTGTCATCGCCCCCATCTCCGGCTTCCCCAACTCCTGACGGCTTTGTCGTCGAGGACCAGTGGAGGATACCGAGGTGTAGCACTGGAATGGAACAGGCTGACTCGGAACACACAACGCAGCTTCTGTGAGTCCAGCCCGCGCCAACGACTCAAGGTGGGGCTCAAACGCCTACTTCTGGTCCACGTTAGTCAGGGAAAAGGACTCGGCACTATGCGAAAGTTCACTGAAAAACTTGGGTAAAACACGAGCCATTACACACACCATTTTAGACAAAAATTACAAATTTAGTCCCTCATCAGCGGAATGTGTCCCTTCAGGAGCGTCACCGGCTACGGCGGCAGCGGCGCCATGGCTGCGTGTGGCCCGAGCAGGCAGACATACGAGCCGGGTCAGCCAGTGCCGCAGGCTACTCAGACAACACGGTACGTATTAGTGACAGAACGGCTTCTGATTTACGATTCCAGACTGTAGCTTCTTTTATTGACTGTAGTGGGTGGAAGGGGGGTGGGGGGGGGACCTGCATCATTTATTATACACATAAAATGAAGCTTCATTTGCGGTTTGTACAAACGCAGGGATGTGTTGTTTTCTTTCATATCCCATCATGCTCTCCTTTTTTTAGAGACATGCGTATGCAGGTGAGTGCAGAGCTGCGATCAGCTGACATGCAGCCCCCCGGAGCGTTTTCCAGGGTGGGGGGGTCGACGGCCTCACTCATGCCGGCATTCTCCGCTTTCCGTCCCACACCCTGTTCTGCCCGTTTACAGCCCCCTGTGCCTCTGGGACGGCGCGCCTTGCACCGATGACGGGGACCCACGGCATCGACGGCATGCAGTGACGCGTTCGCCACCTTTGATGACGGGTTAACTGCAAGCCGCTCTGTTTGCAGAGCGCGCCCCCGTTCCGACAAGCTCACATACCTCTTGGTCTATAAATAGTAGTGCACCCCCCCACCCACGTACTCACTTTAAACACGGGGAAGCACATTCACCAGGAAACCCTCACACCCGAGGCCTTGGTCAGTAAAAAGCAAGGCTAAGGCTCACTAATCAGCTCCACCGGGAGCCATGAACTGCACCCACATGAGCGGCCGAGGTACGAAGGACACACACATACTGGGGCGACCTCTACACAGGTCGAGACTCCTTACAGCTCATTAGAGTCCATGTTACAGGTGAAACTAATCGATAAAACAGCAGAATATTTCAGCTAAAGAGTAAAAAATTAAGCAAAGCGCAGCATCTTTAAAGGTCAGTCCAATCTAAATCCTGCACAGGAACTCATCAGAATGGGGGAGCTCTTCTAATAACCCCTCACCTACATGGAGGGAGGGTTTTGACTGACCTTTGAAACCAACCAATAGCCTCTCACCTACCTGGAGGGAGGGTTTTGACTAATATGGAGCCCACCCAATAGCCTCTCACCCACCTGGAGGGAGGGTTTTGACTGACATGGAGCCCACCCAATAGCCTCTCACCTACCTGGAGGTAGTGTCTCCGGACCACGTGCCTTCTCATCGACGTTGCTGTGGGCCTGATTCTGGTTAGACGAGTCCATGGCACTCCAGTCATCCTGGACAGAGAGAGGCGGAGGAGAGTGAGGAGGAGAGTGAGTATTCTCTGAATACAGTCAGCGCTGCTCCTTCGGATGACTCTCTCTTCCCTCTCCAAGCAGCGTGAGGAGCAAACCCCACGTCTGTGATGCTGGTACTCATGCATCGTGACTGAAAGAACCAGGAACTTTCACTTTGAAGGTGGGAGACAATGAGGCCCTTCTCCCCTAGAACCATGGGGGGGGGGGGTATACGCAGTATATGGCATACACCCACCTTTAAAAAAGATGGATTTACCGTGTACCCACCAGAATTTACCGTGTACCCACCAGAAACAGCTATTTGTCAGAGTGGGTATATGCAATTATACAGCATAATATACCCACCAACCAAGACAACACTGTAGCACTGAAATTAACAAATAAATCAGGCTCTTTTAATGACCATCAAATGGGATAAGTGTGTGTCATGGGTTCAAATCCCAGGTTCAGCAGAGTGGTTTCACCGCCCTAAACCCCCAGTTGCTCCAGGGATGGATCTCGCCTACTCAGTTGTACATTTCTTTGGATAAAATCCATTGCTAAATAATTAAAATGTAAAGAAACCTCTAAAAGCTTCTAATCTCAGAAACTGAACCAAACCGGTCATTACCCCTCTTTCTGCTTCTGTTAACCAATCATGAACCCCGCTTTAGTGTAAGGTTACAATTTAAACATTAGAAATGGCTGTCTACGTTTATTCTACCAGTCACAAGACTGACATCTGTGCACCTTCACAGGTCGGCATGAGCCTCTGAATGCGACTCCAAGAATTCAAATAGAATAAAGCACATACAACCTTTTCAGCACCGAAACCTTGAAATGTGCTTCGAAATAAATCTCGCACAAGTAGAGAAATAAATAGGCTGGTAGCATGAAACCCAGGGCTCCATGAATTCAGAGGACATTGTGCGGCATGTCCTTCAAACACACAAATGGGGATGTGGAGGTTATTGTGGCGTCTAAGCGCCGTCCCCCGAGGTCGATTGATGTCATTGGAACTATAAGATTTCAGTCGCTTGGCCACAGCTCTGAGAAAAGAAAGGAGAGCTTTGCGTCAACCTTCAAACTCATTTCAAATTTATTCACTCCGACACCCAAAGCAAGCATGTGACACGTCCTGCAAACCTTTTGTTCAAGATCAGAAGCAGATCAGATGGACGGAGAGCATGTATTATTCAAAGTGGGGCTTCTGTTCGGCAGCTTGTGCGCTGGGGCACGCAGAGAGCTACATCCACAACACGAGCGAGCAGGGATGCTCAGCGACACCTTCCGCAACCCGACACGACTGAGCTGTCAACTGCCACCCATGCAGCCATCTGATGGAGTTGCGTTCGGTGCCGTTGCGAACCTAAAGAACACATCCCGGCAAAATGATCCCATCCGGTCATGGAATAAGGCTAAGTCTGTGAGGAGAAGCAGCGGATCTCTGCGTCTAGGGGTCTAGAGGAAGCCTACCGCGCATCGATCATCAGGGGAGGCCTACCGCGCATCGATCATCAGGGGAGGCCTACCGCGCATCGATCATCAGGGGAGGCCTACCGCGCATCGATCATCAGGGGAGGCCTACCGCGTATCGATCATCAGGGGAACCTCCGAGACTCTCTGAAAGGACACTTCGTACGCGGCGATTTCTGAATGTTGCACGCAACCCAAAGCAGTTATTTTACTCATTACCTCAGTTGATTTATTTTCCCCGTCAATGTTGTTCCATGGCGCGTTCGACTTCATGCGGGAAGCCACATAAATTATCGGAGATCTAGCGTCATCAATCACAGGTTCATCAGTTACGTCATTCCCAGGCTCCCATAGTCTCTGCAGCCTGCACCCACTTTTCCCGTGGGTCCGATAAGCTGCCTCTTCGTGTCAAAGCCCAGGAGCCGCGCGCATGGCCTAATGCATGCTGGGAGGCTGCAAGATCCGCATTATACCAACCCCAGACCAAACGAAAAACTGACAAAATTAAAATTTTGTTCTCTGAATTACATAATAATTACAGCAAAACATAACCATGCATCTGCCTCAGATGTGTGCTACACAGGCTAAAACTGGGTCACACACAAGGAGAGGCAAAGTTCTCCAGGCTGCCTCTCCGTCCTCGAATGCTTGTGGCCACAAAAATTTCCACTTGCTCAGCTGTCTAGACCTTGAAGCAGGATCTTGACTCCCAAAACACACACATGCACGCACACACACACGCACGCACATACACCTACATTTTGTTTCTGCTCCAATTCCATAGCAAATACAGGACACTGGGGAAGAAAAATCAAGGTATTTTTTTTCTTCCTGTTGATGTCCATTAACGCACATAACTCTCTCTGAAAGATGCTTGCGGGGACATGCAAACGCAGCGGGGCTGGAATTCTAAGATGTAGGCTAGATTACCAACGAGCAAAAATACATTTTTTTAGAAACGGGGCAAAAGCACTCTATCGGGGGCGATGCGGGCTTTAATGACCTCCATTAGTATCATCGGGAAAAGCAATCACAGTCACGCTATGTAAAACATGCCACAAAGCAGCGCTGCCATGGACAAATTAATTGCATTTAGCCCAGAACACCCCACACATTAGAGCATTTAAATGAGGGGGGGGGCACATACCAAAGAAACATGTCCCAAATAACTCTCACTACCCACTGTCCCCACCCCACCCCCCAAAACGCTAATCTGATTTTGTGGTGACCCTAATGAGATATACTAGCAGACTCATCAAAGTCAAATTATCCATCTCAATAACAGACAGATTAACATCCTAATTAAACAAGGTTAATTAATCAGGTGCTTAAGTGGACTTACTTTGATAAACACCCTGATGAGGAATCTGTGTAAATGTTAGTCCTTGAAGACAAAAAAAGACATCTGACAAGCCAATATGTCATGGCCATCATCATCACCCCCCATCACATACATGTCAGAGTGCGACAGTATAACATACACGTCCCAAAGCATGAATATTAAAGCCTAATGACCAAAGGGCGCTTTGCATATGCCAACAACCCACCAGTACCAACACTAACCCAGGATCAGCCAGGTAAGAGAAAGCGGGGACCAAGTCCCCCAAATGAGATCCGACACCATAGAGGCAGAAGGTCGCAGAGTGAACAGAGAGACCGGCGGGACCCTCACCCATCGCACAGGATAAGGGCAACTTGATGGCGGAAGGTGAATAAAGAAGCAGAGTATGGTGATGGACTGATGGTCATGCCAACTCTGCACCCCGCCCCCCCACCATCCTAATTACTGCTGGCCTCAACACACACAAACCGCCGGCACCCCCTGGGGAGGCAGACCTCCATCCCGATGGCGCCTAGAGCGCTCGACCCCAGAGGGGTCTGGCAGGTGGGTTTGGGCAGCGCCAGGGGAACATCCATCTCGGCTGGCACAGAAAGCCCCCTGGCAGCTGTTCCCTTTCGCAGGACCCGCGGCCGTCGCAGGGAGCTGGCACAGTATGGCCCGGCCAGAGAGACCCGGGGGTGGTCTGCACGTTGTGCACGTGGGGGCCTCGAGGCAGCCCATGGGGGAGGGGCGGAGCCAGCAAACTCCCTTCACAGAGAGCGAAGGATCTGATAGGGATGGCAGAGAGTGAACACAGGAGGCGCGCCGGTCAGGAAGTGGATCGGGATGGCCATCCCATCTCTGCCATCGCATATCCCACCACGGAATACCCCTCCCCTTTAATTAAATCTCAGAGACGTGAGGGTCTCCGTTTCTATCCTTCATTACCCGGGGCTTCGGAGCAGAACGGATTATGCTCCTCGGAATGCCACGGCACACAAACCGAAAGTCACGCCAGCTGGTAAAATTTATTAAGCATTTTAAATCTTCTGCCTTTTTTGTGTGTGGGGGGGGGGCGGCAGACACTGCATTCTCACATAACCCGAGTTGTACTCCGCTAATTGCGCAGTGGGACGACAGCAAGCCAAACAGCACTGGAAATGAGAAAGGTCGAGTTCAGCAGCTGCACTGCATTACACTGTCGAGTCAAAAGCATAAACAGAGTCGACTGAAATGACTGAATCAGCAGAAATATTGTTGGAAAACCCCACATCAAATTCAAATGCAAATTTATTTATAGTGAATTTTACGTTGTCTACAAGTACTTTACAGCATCCCTGCCCAAAGCCCCCAGTGAGCGAGTCAGAAGCAACAGTGGCAAGGAAAAACTGCCTAGGAGGAAAAAACCTTGGGAGGAACCAGACCCAAAGGGGGAGCCCGTCCTCCAGGGGGCAGCAGAGGAAGCCCTAACCCTAACCAGA